AGGAAGATTGCTTAAACCCAGGAGTTGGAGGCTGCAGTGAGCTAAGATTGTGCCACTGTACTCCAGCCTGGGTGACAGAGCTAGATCTTGTCTCTACAAAAAAGGGGGCGGCATTTTATTATATTTGAGTTTTGTTTGTTTGCTTTTTTTTTTTTTTTTTGAGATGGAGTCTCGCTCTGTCGCCCAGGCTGGAGTGGGGTGGCCAGATCTCAGCTCACTGCAAGCTCCACCTCCCGGGTTTACGCCATTCTCCTGCCTCAGCCTCCCGAGTAGCTGGGACCACGGGCGCCCGCCACCTCGCCCGGCTAATTTTTTGTATTTTTTAGTAGAGACAGGGTTTCACCGGGTTATCCAGGATGGTCTCGATCTCCTGACCTCGTGATCCGCCCGTCTCGGCCTCCCAAAGTGCTGGGATTACAGGCTTGAGCCACTGCACCCGGCCTTGTTTGTTTGCTTTTGAGACAGAGTCTGGTGGTGTCACCCAGGCTGGAGTGCAGTGGTATGATCTCTGCTCACTGCAACCTCCACCTCCCAGCTTCAAGCAGTTCTCCTGCCTTAGCCTCCCGAGTAGCTGGGACTACTTTCCAGGGTTTTTGTTGTTGTTGTTGTTGTTGTTTTAAGACTCAGTCTCCCTCTGTTGCCCAGGCTGGAGTGCAGTGGGGTGATCTCAGCTCATTGCAAACTCCACTTCCCAGGTTTAAGCAATTCTCATGCCTCAGTCTTCCAGGTAGCTGGGACTACTAGCGTGTGGCACCATGCCCAGCTAATGTCTGTATTTTTAGCAGAGACAGGATTTCACCATGTTGGACAGGCTGGTCTCTAACTCCTGACCTCAAGTGATCGACTTCACAAAACGCCAGGATTACAGGTGTGAGCCACTGTGCCCAGCTTTTTCTTGTTGTTTTAAAAAATTACAGCTGGTCTGTGCTGATAGGTAAAGAGAGGAAACCAACGAGGCAGGAGAGGAAAGGGGGAATGGCTGAAGTGACGGCTGTGAGTTGATGAGAAGGACCAGGAGTTGGTGAGCAAAAAAGGTAGCTCAGGCAGCCAATGTCACATGGGAAGGCACTACCTTGGAAGTGGCTCCTTCGCTCCCAGTCAAGCCTTCAGATGAGGCAGCCCTGGCCGACAGCTTGACTGCAACCTCATGAAACACGCAAAGCCAGAAACATCCAGAGAAGCTGCTCCCAGACTCCTGACCCACAGGAAAGGTATCTATCTTCTTTCCTCTATCTCTGGGGGCTCTCCCGCCCCGGCTTTTTTTTTTTTTTTTTTAAGATGGAGTCTTGCTCTTGTTGCCCGGGCTGGAGTGCAATGGTGCACGATTTCGGCTCACTGCAACCTCTGCCTCTTGGGTTCAAGTGATTCTCCTGCCTCGGCCTCCTGAGTAGTTGGGATTAGAGGCGTGCACCACCAAGCCCAGCTAATTTTTGTATTTTTAGTAGAGATGGGGTTTCACCACATTGGCCAGGCTGGTCTCGAACTCCTGACCTCAGGTGATCCACCTGCCTTGGTCTCCCAAAGTGCTGGGATTACAGGTGTGAGCCACTGCCTCTGGCCTTGTCTTTGTTGTTGTTGTTGTTGTTGTTGTTGTTTAGGAGATGGGGGTCTCACTATGGTGCCCATGCTGGTCTTGAACTCCTGGGCATAAGAGATCCTGCCTTAGCCTCTAGAGTAGCTGGGACTACAGGCATGTGCCACCGCGCTCAGGTCTACTTCTCTGTCTCTATAAGGACACTGGTCATTGGATTTAGGGTCTACTCTAAATCCAAGACAATTTCATGCTGAGATCTTTAAGAACATCTTCAAAGACTCTATTTCCAAATCAGGTCACATTCATGGGTACCAGGGGTTACCACCTTGGCAAGTCTTTTGGGGGGGACACGATTCGACCCAAGTCCAGCTATTTGAAGTTGCTAAGTTTGGAGGAATTTTTTGTACAGCCATAAGGATCTTAAGTAAGTTTTGGCTAGCAGAACCAACAGTTCACCAGCCAGCATTAGCGGGCAGGAGGGGAGGCAGCGTGCCCGGCACGGGGGCAGGCAGGTGGGCACAGCTGTTGGTGGGGGTGCACGGAACGTCTGTTTGATTTTCTCACCGAAGGCGAAAGCAAGGTCATCTGCTGAGTGAGGATGAGGGAGGTTGGAGGCCAAGAAGAAAATGACAGAGAGGACAGATGGCAAGAGAGAGAACTTCACGGAAGCACAGTAGAATGGATGCTGGCTGCTCAGGAGGCTGAAGTGGGAGGATCACTTGAGCCTGGGAGGCAGAAGTTGCAGTGAGCTTAGATCAAGCCACTGCACTCCAGCCTGGGCAACAGAGCAACACTCTGTCTCCAAAACATAAACAAGATGGTCAGGCACGTGGCTCATGTCTGTAATCCCAGCACGTATGGGAGGCTGAGGAGGACGGATCATTTGAGGCCAGGAGTTCAAGACCAGCCTGGTCAACATGGTAAAACCCTGTCTCTACTAAAAATACAAAAATTAGCCAGGCGTGGTGGCGTGTGCCTGTAATCCCAGCTACTCAGGAGGCTGAGGCACAAGAATCACTTAAACCTGACAGGCAGAGGGCGTAATGAGCCGAGATTGTACCACCGCACTCCAGCCTAGGCAACAGAGTGAGACCCTGTCTCAAAACAGAATAAAACAGGCCGGGCGTGGCCGGGCGCGGTGGCTCAAACCTGTAATCCCAGCACTTTGGGAGGCCGAGGCGGGCAGATCACCAGGTCAGGAGATCGAGACCATCCTGGCTAACACTGTGAAACCCCGTCTCTACTAAAAAAAATACAAAAAACTAGCCGGGCGTGGTGGCGGGCGCCTGTAGTCCCGGCTACTTGGGAGGCTGAGGCAGGAGAATGGCATGAACCCAGGGGGCGGAGCTTGCAGTGAGCCGAGATCGCGCCACTGCACTCCAGCCTGGGGCACAGAGCAAGGCTCCGTCTCAAAAAAAAAAATTAAATTAAAAAAACAGGCCGGGCGCACTGGCTCACACCTGTAATCCCAGCACTTTGGGAGGCCGAGGCGGGCGGATCACGAGGTCAGGAGATCGAGACCATCCTGGCTAACACGGTGAACTCTCGTCTCTACTAAAAATACAAAAAATTAGCCGGGCATGGTGGCGGGCGCCTGTGGTCCCAGCTACTTGGGAGGCTGATGCAGGGGAATGGTGTGAAGCAGGGAGGCAGAGCTTGCAGTGAGTGAGCTGAGATCATGCCACTGCACTCCGGCCTGGGAAACAGAGCAAAACTCTGCCTCAAAAAAATTTTTTAAAAAAAAACACCAAAAACAAACAAACAAAAAAACAGAACAAAACAAAACATATTGAGACCCTGTCTCTACAAAAAATACAAAAATTAGTCAGGCATAGTAGGGCAAACCTGAGGTCCTAACTGCTTGGGAGGCCAAGATAGGAGGCTCGTTTGAGCCCAGAAGGTGGAGGCTACAGTGAGCTGCAGTGATCCACCACTGCACTACAGCCTGGGAGACAGAACAAGACCCTCTCCATTAAAAAAGAAAAGACGGGCCAAGCGCAGTGGCTCACACCTGTAATTCCAGCACTTTGGGAAGCCAAGGTGGGCGGATCACAAGGTCAAGAGTTCAAGACCAGCCTGGCCAACATGGTGAAACCTCATCTCTACTAAGAATACAAAAATTAGCCGGGCATGCATGGTGGCAAATGCCTGTAATCCCAGCTACTTGGGAGGCTGAGGCAGGAGAGTTGCTTGAACCTGGGAGGCAGAGGTTGTGGTGAGCTGAGATTGTGCCAATGCACTCCAGCCTGGGCAACAGAGCAAGACTCCATCTCCAGGGGAGGGAAAAAAAAAAAGGCTGGGCATGGTGGCTCATGCCTGTAATCCCAGAACTTTTGGAGGCCAAGGCGGGTGGATCACCTGAAGTCAGGAATTTGAGACCAACCTGACCAACATGGTGAAACCCCGTCTCTAGTAAAAATACAAACAGGCCAGGTGTTGTGGCTCATACCTGTAATCCCAGCACTTTGGGAGGCTGAGGCGGGCGGATCATGAGGTCAGGAGATCAAGACCATCCTGGCTAACATGATGAAACCCTGTGTCTACTAAAAATACAAAACATTAGCCAGGCGTGGCAGTGTGCGTCTGTAGTCCCAGCTACTCAGGAGGCTGAGGCAGGAGAATGGTGTGAACCCGGGAGGCAGAGCTTGCAGTGAGCCGAGACAGCGCCACTGCACTCCAGCCTGGTGACAGAGTGAGACTCTGTCTCAAAAAAAAAAAAAAACAAACAAAAGAAAATTTAGCTGGGCGTGATGGTGCCTGCCTATAATCCCAGTTACTTGTTAGGCTGAGGCAGAAGAAACGCTTGAGCCTGGCAGGCGGAGGTTGCAATGAGCTGAGATTACGCCATTGCACTCCAGCCTGGGTAACAAGAGTGAAATCCCATCTCAATAAAAATAATAATAAAGCAAATTAAAATTAAAAACCTATAATCAAACATGTGACTTTCAGGCAGGTGTCTCAACCTCTGCACTCATTTGGGGCCGGGTCATTCTCTGTTGTGGAGACTGAGTGCTGGAGGGTGTCTTCCAGCATCCCTGGCCTCCCCTGACTCTGACTAGACGCCAGCTGCACACCGCCCCCCCCACCCCATGACAAGTGAAGCCGACACCCCGGGGGCAGGATCGAGCGCTCCAGTGGAGAACACTGCTCAGTGGACAGTCGGTTCCCGTCGTGTTTGGCCGCCTGTCTTCTGGTTTTGGCTTCTCTGGCTGCAGACCAGGAGCTGTGAACCTGTGATTCTACGGCTATGCCCATTTTACAGAGAGGTAAGTGGGCTGTCACTGGCCACACATGGAGGAGCTAGGAGAAGATGGGGGTCCGGGAAGGGCGAAGATGGAGGGTGGTTTCCCCAGAGCCCCCTTGGAGGGAGTTGGCTGGGCACACGCTGTTGGGCAACGTTTCCCGAAAGCCCCCACCTCTCCCTCCCTCCCACGCTCCCCTCACCCAACACACTCAGGAGTCAATGTTTGGCAAAAATAATTTAATATTCCATCTGGGCAGCACTGTGGGGTCTGCTTGTCCCTCCCTGGCCCCTGTGCCCCACCTGACCCACTCAGGGACCACCACCCCATCCCTGACCAGGCCTGGGGGTGGGGGAGTTAGAGGCCCCCAGACCCTGGGCCTCATTCCTAGTGAAACTGAAGCCACCATAATGCCAGCCTCCTCCAAGAGCCCCAGCTCTGCCCCTGGCTTCCCTGGCAATCCTCCCCTGTCCTGAGCTGGGCATCCCAGAGCCTCCCGCAGAGTCCCACCCCTGAACCTGGAAACTTCCACCCTACAGCCCTGCGCTAGGCCCCGGGGAGCTGCCAGTGGACTCAGAGAGTCACAGCACAAAGGCAGCTCCTGGGTCCCAGAGAAGGACAGCAACCGAGCACCCAGCAAGACACAAGCGATGACACCGATTCACACACACACCCAGTTTAGACGCCAAAGCCCTGCGGGGGAGGAGCGGCCCTCAAGAGTCCTCAGGGAGCCCCGGGTGAGGGCGGGGCCCTAGGAGGGGGCCCCCGTGTAGCTGCTCCAGGCCGTCTGCGTACTGGAAGGCTCGCCCGGTCTCGTGCTCATACATGTCCAGAGCCACCTCGCAGCTCTCACGCACCACGCGCTCTGGGTCGTCCGCGTGAGCCTGCAGCGCGGCCAGGCAGGAGGGCCGGGCGATGGCGCCCAGGGCCTCCGCGCACTCGTGCCGCACCATGGGGTTCTCGGCGCACCGGGCCAGGGCAGCTGCCAACTGGGGCACCGCCGCCTCATGCTGCAGCTGTCCCAGGACGTAGCCGACCTCGTGGCGGAAGAGGGCGCTCCCACAGTGCAGGCCTGCAGGGGAGAGGGGCACTCGCTGGGGCCAGGAGAGGTGGGAAGGGGAGCTCTGTCTTTTCTTTTTTTTTTTTTTTTTTTTTTTTGAGACGGAGTCTTGCTCTGTAGCCCGGGCTGGACTGCAGTGGCCGGATCTCAGCTCACTGCAAGCTCCGCCTCCCGGGTTTACGCCATTCTCCTGCCTCAGCCTCCGGAGTAGCTGGGACTACAGGCGCCCGCCACCTCGCCCGGCTAGTTTTTTGTATTTTTAGTAGAGACGGGGTTTCACCCTGTTAGCCAGGATGGTCTCGATCTCCTGACCTCGTGATCCGCCCGTCTCGGCCTCCCAAAGTGCTGGGATTACAGGCTTGAGCCACCGCGCCCGGCCTTCTGTCTTTTCTTAAGACATGGGGTCTTGCTATGTTGCCCAGGCAGGTCCCAAAGTCCTGGCGATCTTCCTACCTTGGCCTCCCAAAGTGCTGGGATGACAGGCGTGAGCTACCATGCCCAACCTGGCGTGCTCTATCTTAAGGACGCCCCTCCCCCAGCCCCAGTGATTAGGGCTGTCCAGGGGAACTGACCGCAGCTATGGGGGCGGGAAGAGCTGGGAGCTGTGGGGACCCAGGGACGCTCGCATGGGTTCTTAACAGGCCCCATGGGAAATGCTTGGGGCCAGGCCCGGTACGCCGTTCCCTGGGGCAGGCAGCGGTCCCACTGCACAGATGCCATCACTGAACCTCACAGCGAGGCACTGCCCAGGACCCCACCCCAGGAGCCCCTCCTCACCCTCGGCCAGCGCCAGGGCGGCCTCCTCGCCTCCCGCGTTGCGCAGGGCGAACATGGCGCGGTATCGCTCGAAGAGCGGCCGGGACTCGTCCAGCAGCGCCTCCCGCAGGCGCCCCACGTCACGCTCCTCAGCCGGCGGGGCAGGGTCCACGGAGAGGTAGGGTCCTGCCGTCGGCTCCCCACCGTGCTGCTGCAGCCACTCCAGCCTGTGCACAGCCAGCTGGCAGGTCTCGGCCACCTGCGGGGAGGGAGTACGCAGACAGTAGTTGGTCCTGGGGGGCCACGGGGGCCCTTCCCCATCCCCCCGGGATGGCAGCTTAGCAGGGGAGAGAGCCACTGGCAGGGTAACTAACCGATCCTTCCAGGCAGGAAGTAAGCCAGTGGGGGTGACTGACTTGTGAGTGATGGGGACAGCTGGAGGGCTGGGGAGGGCCTCAGGGAGGAGGTGATGTGGAGGCAGAGACCTCAACCAGCTTAGGGAGGGAGTCAGGTGGAGACCCGCGGATGGGGAAGCAGGTGCAAAGGCCCTGAGGCAGGACCCTGCGGGAGGGGTGAGGGCCAAGGAGACACGCGGGGTCCAGCCTGACTAGGTAAGGCCTGCGGGCCACGGTGAGGGCTTGGGATTTCGTTCTAAAGGTGATGACACACGGTGAGAGCTTTAAGCATGGAACAGAACAGCAGAATTGAGGGTCACACGTACCCACTGCTGCCCCAGAGGAGGAAAGACTGAGGGTCAGGGTGGGATGTGGACGAGTGGCAGGGGAGAAAGGAACACGCATGTCCGTGGCGGCGTGACTCATAATGGCTAAAAAGCAGAGAGAACCCAAGCATCAGCCACAGTGAGTGGACTGACACGGCATGAGCCGTCTACACCACGGAACGTGACTCAGCCACAGAAAGGAACGACGGGGCCGGGGGCAGTGGCTCATGCCCATAATCCCAGCAGTTAGGGAGACCAAGGCAGGAGCATCGCTTGAGCCCAGGAGTTCCAGACCAGCCTGGGTGACAGAGTGGGACCTCGCCTCTATAAAGAAAAAACTAATAAAATAAAAATTTGTTTCATTATTTTTTTTTCTTTACAGAGATAAGGTGTCCTGGGCGCCGGCCTCTACTATGGCGGATGCGAGTAGTAGCAGGAGAGAAGGGGTAAGGAGTCAGAAGCTTATGTTATTTATGCAGGGGAATGCCATGTCAGGAGCACCAATTATTAGGGGCACTAGCCAATTCCCAAAGCCTCCGATTACAATGGGTATTACTATAAAGAAGATTATGCCCGCTCTGTTGCCCAGGCTGGAGTGCAGTGGTGCGATCTCGGCTCACTGCAACCTCCCCCTCCCAGGTTCAAGCGATTCTCCTGCCTCAGCCTCCCATGTAGCTGGGACTACAGGTGCCCGCCACCTCGCCAGGCTAATTTTTTTATTTTTAGTAGAGACGGGGTATCTCTATTTTGGCCAGGCTAGTCTCGAACTCCTGACCTCAGGTGATCCACCTGAACATAAAAGAATAGGCCAGGTATTGTGGCTCACGCCTGTAATCCCAACACTTTGGGAGGCCAAGGTGGGCAAATCATTTGAGGTGAGGGGTTCAAGACCAGCCTGGCCAATATGGTGAAACCCCATCTCTACTGAAAACACAAAAATTAGGCGTGGTGGCGGGCACCTGTAATCCCAGCTACTGGGGAGGCTGAGGCAGGAGAATCGCTTGAACCCAGGAAGCGGAGGTTGCAGTGAGCGGAGATTGTGCCACCATTGCACTCCAGCCTGGGCATTGCAGTGAGACTCTGTCTCAAAAAAAGAAAGAAAGAAAGAAAAAAAGCCTGGCCAACATGGTGAAACCCCGTCTCTACTAGAAATACAAAACTCAGCCGGGCGCGGTGGCTCAAGCCTGTAATCCCAGCACTTTGGGAGGCCGAGACAGGCGGATCATGAGGTCAGGAGATTGAGACCATCCTGGCTAACACGGTGAAACCCTGTCTCTACTAAAAAATACAAAAACCTAGCTGGGTGAGGTGGCGGGCGTCTGTAGTCCCAGCTACTCGGGAGGCTGAGGCAGAAGAATGGCGTGAACCCGGGAGGCAGAGCTTGCAGTGAGCTGAGATCCGGCCACTGCACTCCAGCCTGGGTGACAAAGCGAGATTCTGTCTCAACAACAACAACAACAAAAATACAAAAAACTAGCCGGGCAAGGTGGCGGACGCCTGTAGTCCCAGCTACGCGGGGCTGGGTAATCCACCCGCCTTGGCCTCCCAGAGTGCTAGGATTACAGGCGTGAGCCACCGCGCCCGGCAATAAAGCTGTTATTTTAAAAAACAAGAAGAAATGTTGGAAGGAAGCCAGAGACCCCTGAAGAGGTCTGGTGGGCCAGGGCAAGGTATCAGAGGTAGAGGGCACTGGGTGGGTTCAGAGGGGTCTTGGCAGAGGGACTGGACGTGGGGGTTCAGAGAAAGGGGGTCAGGGCAGCTCAGGGGCTCAAGGCCCAGGATGGAAGCGGGTGAGCAAAGCTGGTTGTCGCCGTTTTGCCAAATGGGGCTCAGCAAGTGTCTGTCCAGGTTGTTGCCCTCGCCTCCCTCATCCCTGGGGCATCCTTGGCCAAATGGTCGCCCTGGCAACCAGAGATGGGGAGGGTTTGAGGCTGCTCCAGGCCAGGGCTGGGGCAGGACTGGGTAGGGCTTCCCGGGGACCCGAGACTGGCAGGGAGACAAGCGGGGGCCTGGTTACCTCGATGACGGGGTCCGAGGAATATTGCTTCAGGAGCTCCAGAACCTCCGGGTCCCCGATGGCCCCCAGGGCCTCCCCTGGGAAGAAGCAGCCAGAGACTTCACGTTAGTGGGATGGATGTGTGGAAAATGCCCGGCTACCTGTGGCACCAGAGGACACCCCTCCCACGGCTCTGCCCCTGTGGGGAAGCCCCGCCTCTGGCCATGGCTGATTGGAGCAGCAGTGGGTACAGGCTCCCCGCTGGACCAATCAGCATCCCCTCCCCAGAGCGAGGCATTGCCTGGAACCGCACCCGGCTGCCGCTCAGAGCAAAACGGACCCGATCCCGGCCCGCGCAGTAAGACAGGGAGACAAGTATGTCCCTGCAACTCGGGATCACAGCTGACAAGCAGTTCCAAGAACCCAGGAGGTCAGGGTTGCAGTGAGCTATGATCACACCACTGTACTCCAGCACGGGCGACACAGTGAGACCCTGTCTCAAAAAAAAAAAAAAAAAAAAAAAAAAGCCCCAAACAGGCCAGGCCTGCCGGCTGGAGACTCCACTGTGGGGCCACTGGGGCTGCACTTGGGTGGGTTCGGGTGCAGGCGCAAGTGCAGGCGTAGCAAGCCCAGGTCGGAGCTAGGGTGGCGGCGGCTCCCTGCAGAGCCCTGGGTGCAAATGTTCCTTTGATTTTTTTCAGAATCGAGTTCAAGGGCCCTGCCTGTGAGGCAGTTGAGCTGGTGGCTTTTGCATTTCCTGAAGGTTGCAGTTTGCATTTGTGCACCTGCCTGGCAGGCTCCCTCTGGCGGGAAGAGTCAGTCCCGTGTGCGCCAACACACGCTCTGTGTCAGGCACCTCCCACGCGCTAATTGCAAATGAACTCACTGGTTACAGAAACACAGAAACACAATCCCAGTGACACAGACGCACCAACTACCTGACTCACTGGCATCCTTTGCTGTCTAGGTCCCTTGCTACAACAGTCCATTTTTTTTTTTTTTTTTTTTAGACAGAGCTTTGCCCTTGTGGCCCAGGCTGGAGTACAATGGTGTGATCTCCACTCACGGCAAACTCCACTTCCCGGGTTCAAGTGATTCTCCTGCCTCAGCCTCCCGAAGTAGCTGGGATTACAGGTGCCCGCCACCACGTCCCACTAATTTTTTTGTGTTTTTAGTTGAGACGGAGTTTCACCATGTTGTCCAGGCTAGTCTTGAACTCTTGACCTCAGGTGATCCACCCGCCTCAGCCTCCCAAATTGCTGGGATTATAGGTGTGAGCCACCACACCTGACCTGAACAGTCCTTTTTTTTTGAGGCAGGGTCTCGCTCTGTTGCCCAGGCTGGAGTGCAGTGGCGCGATCATGGCCCACTATAGCCTCAACCTCCCTGGTTCAAGTAATCCTTCTGCCTCAGCCTCTTGAGTAGCCAGGACCATAGGCGTGAGCCACAATGCCCGGCTTGTATCTGTCTTGTCACTGTTTTGTCTCTCACATACGTGACAGAGCCTGGCATACAGTAGGTGCTCAAAAAGGTATGTCCAATGAGTAGAGTAAATCTAACATACATTAGGAGTGGGGATCTATGGCTTGTCGCCTGTTTTTATATGAGCAAAAACTGGTTTTTAAAACACTTTTAAGGGTTTAAGGCTGGATGCGGTGGCTCATGCCTGTAATCCCAGCACTTTGGGAGGCCGAGGCAGGTGGATCACTTGAGGCCAGGAGTTCAAGGCCAGCCTGGCCAACATGACAAAACCCATCTCTACTAAAAACACAAAAATCACCCAGGCATGGTGGCACACACCTGTAATGCTAGCTACTTGGGAGGCTAAGGCAGGAGAATCACTTGAATCTGAGAGGCAGAAGTTGCAGTAAACCAAGATGGCGCCACAGTACCCTAGCCTGGGTGACAGAGCGAGACTCTGACTCAAAACAAATAAATGGTTTAAAACAAAAAATCAAAGGGATAGTAGTTCCTGATGGGTGGAATTTATATGAAATTCAAATCTCAGCATTTACAAATGAAGTTTGTTTTTTGTTTTTTTACAGACAGGATCTCACTCTGTTGCCCAGGCTGGAATGCAGTGGCGCGATCACGGCTCACTGCAACGTTGACTACCTGGGCTCAAGCGATTCTCCCTGCTCAGCCTCCCAAGTAGCTGGGACTACAGGTGCATGCCACTGTGCCCGGCTAATTTTTGTATTTTTTCTAGAGACAGGGTTTTGCCATGTTGCCCAGGATGGTCTTGAACTCCTGAGTTCAAACGATCCACCTTCCTGGGCCTCCCAAGGTGCTAAGATTACAGGCCTGAGCCACCGCCACCGCCCCCGCCCCCCACCCAATTGAGATTGTCTGGGCACACAACCTTAGCCATTTGGTGACAGACGACCTACGACCTACGCTGGCTTCACTGAATCGCTGTCTGGCTGCAGAGCTGCAGGTATTTACTATCTGGTGCTTTATCGGGCAGTTGACCACCCTGATATTTATCACCTGAGAACGGGGACACATGGGGTCATGAAGAGGTCAGGCAGGAGGGAGCAGGTGCCCGGGACACAGACAGGTGCTCACCTGCCTCATGGCGCACCATGGGCTCCTGACGGGTGTCTTGCAGCACGTCCACCAGCACGGGGATGGCGCGGGCATCCTGCATCTGGCCCAGGCAGTAGGCCAGCTCATGCTTGAGCAGGGCGGAATCGTCACCGAAGGCCTGGCTGATCCAGGCAATGGCGCCTGGGCCGCCGAGCCCGCGCAGTGTGAACAGCGCCCGGAAGCGGGCCTGCAGGGGCTGCTTGGGGTCCACCAGCGTCTGCCCGATGGCATCCACCTCCTGCTCTGTCACCATCGTGCTGTCGATGGGCCCCGGCCTTCCACAGCCCTGCTCAGGCTAAACCTCGGGACACGGGGGTGTGAGAACCTACGGCACAAAAATGAGAGCTCAGGTTAGAAGCCCCCTTCACCAGCTCGTTGGCTTGTTCCTAGGATCTGGGCGGGGCAACTTCCTACCCACTGACCAACCTGAGCATCTGGGCTGAAAGCTCAGCTCCAACCCCCCTACTAGCTGTGCAGCGTTCCATAAGTTGCTTTCTCTCTCTGGGCCTCGGTCTCTGCACTGCCTCTTGCCTACAGGCCTATCAGAAATGACCTCCACTGTCTGCTCTCCACACAGCAGCCAGAGGGACAACGGACCCCCAAAATGTACCTAGCAATCCCTACCCAATATTCATGGCTTTATATTTTTAGTAGAGATGGGGTTTCTCCATGTTGGTCAGGCTGGTCTCGAACTTCCGGCCTCAGGGGATCTGCCCATCTCGGCCTCCCAAAGTGCTGCAATTACAGGCTTGAGCCACCGCTCCCAGCCAATAATGAAGGAATTCTTAACGGGACCCGTTTAGGATTAAACAAGTTTTACTGGGTGTCTGAAGAACTCCCCAAACCTCCATGATTTAGCAGGAGACAAGTTAAAGGTGATTACCCCAGCACCTGGACCCATTCAGATTAAGTAAATTTACTGAGGTTCCAAAGGAAGGTCTTCAGGATTCAGATCTTATAGATTAAAAGAAGTTAGTCACTTATGTCTTTAAATGAATGCACACTTACATGTAGATGTATAGCTTAGAGGGTATATAAGCTCTGGAAAACTTTGTCATTTTGAGTTAGTCTGGCGATATTTTCCAGGCCTTCTCCCTGTAACTGGTTACAGAAATAAAAACTCTCTTCCTCCCCCAGTTAATCTGCATCTTGTTATTGGACCACGAGAAATAGCAGCCCGACCCTCAGTTTGGTCCAGGAACACCCGTGCTCCTCTCATGTTCCTGGGTCTCAAATGTCACTTCCTCATGGAAGCCTTCCCTGATCACAATGGACAATGTTCTCTTTCATCTCTTTTCGCTTGTTCGGCTTTATTTTTCTCCATGGCACCAAAGACTCCTAGATATCATATTGGAAATTATTGGTTTAGTTGCTTGTGGTTGATCTTATCCCTCATCAGAATAGAACTCTGAAGGCTGGGACTGAGTCTATCTTGGTCACTGTTGTATTCCCAGCACTTAGTGCAATGACCAGCACGCAGTAAGGACTCAATAAAAACAATAACTGGCTGGGCGCGGTGGCTCCGCCTGTAATCCCAGCACGTTGGGAAGCCGAGGTGGACAGATCATCTGAGTTCAGGAGTTCGAGACAAGCTGACCAACATGGTGAAACCCCATCTCTACTAAAATACAAAAATTAGCTGGGCATGGTGGTGGATGCCTGTAATCCCAGCTACCCGGGAGGCTGAGGTAGGAGAAACGCCTGAACTCCAGAGAGGCGGATGTTGTAGTGAGCCGAGATCGTGCCATTGCGCTCCAGCCTGAGTGACAGAGCAAGACCCTTCTCAAAATAAATAAAAACGATAACCGTGACAATAGCCGCTGACACTTACATAGCATTTGCTATGCGCCAGGCACTCCATGCTCTTTACATTCATTAATTCATTCAATCCACATCACTACCCTATGAGTAGTTACTAAGATTGTCCCCATTTTACAGGTGAGGAAACTGAGGCACAGTTTGGGACTGTGCTTGGGAACTTGCTTGGGAGCAGCGTGAAGAGTTAAGAATCCAGGAAGTCTGGCTCCAGAGTCGGGCTCTAAACCACCAACGCTTTGTTGCATGACTTAGGAGGAAAGAACACAGCCAAGGAGGGGAGAAGGGACCCCTCTCTTTCCTCCAGATCGGCTGAGAACCTGGAGGATGCTTAATCTCAGGACAGGCAGGCTATGGCATGCCGGCAGCCCTCGCTGGTTAACAGTGGCGTCAGCAAGGCTGCCTGGGCCTGACGAGGGCGGTGTAGCCACCTAAGCACAGGTGACCATCACTGGAGAGTGACACCTTTAAAGACGGGTCATCAGAAACCACAGAGGCCAAGCCTGCAAGAGCTGGTAGGGCACTGGGGACCATCGAGACCCAGCCGTACGACATAGGAGCTTCAGGACGTGAGGCAGCCACTCTTTCACGTAAAAAATCCCAGAGAAAAGAGATCGCCGGGACTCGAGACCCCTTAACCCGCCCCATCTACAGCCAACGAATCCCTGAGAACGGATTCCCTAACGAGGCGCTCCCGGTGCCACCGTCCGCCAGAGCCAGGCCCCGCACCGTGATCGCCGCCTCCGGGACGCCTCACCGAGCTCTGGAGACTCAGGGCCCGTCGGCCCGCCCAGTTCCCGCGGACGCCTCCGCCACTACCGCTTCACCTGCCGCGACGCTCGCAGTGCGGTCTGGGGGCCGCCATTTTGTCGCCCACGTGACCGTGCCGGACGGCACCAACGCAGCCCCGGGGAAGACCTAGTGAGAGGCTCCCGTGCAGGAGAGAGGCCCGGAAGCCCGAGTCGGTGCTGGTGCCATAGCTCATGCAAGCACAGGAACATTATTCCTAGTGCATTCCTCGGGGAACGGGACGGGCAACGTATGCCCTTTCACGGAAAAAATGATCACCAACCCCCCCACTGCGGTACGAGAAGTGAGAATGGTTTGTGCCGATTCTGCGCCGAGTCTGGGCCGGCTAGCGACGGAGCATGCGCAATGTTTGTAGGCGTGGTCAGACTCCAGAGGCGTGGCCAATGGGCTCAGGGAGCTCGAACCCTAAGTAGATGAGGAATAAAAAAACGAAGAAATGCAGTCGTTCATTCATTCATGTATGTAATAAATACTACATGGACCTTGAGGACAAGACAGCCTGCAGCCCTTACCCTCGTACGCCTCACAGTGTTGTTACGGAGACAGAAAATAACAGGATAAGTAAACGCAATACCTATTAGATAGTGAAAAAGGCTAATGAGAAAAAAAATTTGGTAGCCAAGGGCGGTGTATGTATAGGGGGAGCAGTTTCAGGAAGGGTGGCCAGAATGTGAGGTGGCGACATTTGAAGAAAGACCTGAAAGAGGCCGGGTGCGGTGGCTCACACCGGTAATCCCAACACTTTTGGGAGGCCGAGCTGGATGGATCACCAGAGGTCAGAAGTTTGAGACCAGCCTGGCTGACATGGTGAAACCCCCGTCTCTACTAAAAATACAAAAATTAGCTGGGTGTGGTGGTGCGCGCCTGTAATCCCAGCTACTCAGGAGGCTGAGGCCAGTGAATCGCTTGAACACTGGGTGCAGAGGTTGCGGTGAGCCAAGATCACACACCATTCCACTCCAGCCTGGGTGACAAGAGTGAAACTCCATCTCAAAAAAAAAAAAGGAAACAGACAATGGAAGAGCAAGGTTAGAAGCAGAGAGAACAAGGACAGGTGCGGTGGCTCACGCCTGTAATCCCAGCACTTTGGGAGGCTGAGGCAGGCCGATCACCTGAGATCGTGGGTTTGAGACCAGCCTGACCAACATGGAGAAACCCCGTCTCTACTAAAAATACAAAATTAGCCAGGCGTGTTGGGGCATGCCTGTCATCCCAGCTACCTGGGGGGCTGAGGCAGGAGAATCGCTTGAACCCAGGAGGCAGAGGTTGTGGTGAGCCGAGATTGTGCCACTGCACTCTAGCCCAGGCAACAAGACCGAAACTCCGTCTCAAAAAGTAAATAAAGAAGCAAAGAGAACAGAAATATGCAGGTGCCAGATTAATTCTGAAGAAGAAACAAGCAGGATTTGTAGATGCATTGGATGTGGGAATTTAGAAAAATGATCCTAAGGATGGGTACAAGGTGTTGAGAGGAGCCCCTGGAGAGATGAACCCCATATTAATTGTTCTCACCTCATCATCCTATCCACCCACGGCCCTGTAGACTCTCCCTCTGAAACAGTCAGAATCCAATCAGCCACTCATCTTTACTGCCCCCGTGGCGATCGGGCTCCAAGCCCCCACTGGTGTCACCAGAATGCTATCTAGACAAGAAAAGCGGGAGCTTTTTTATGTATTTATGCTTTTGATCTTTTCTTTTCTTTCTTTTTAAAATTTCTTAAAATTACTTATTTTTTAGAGACAGAGTCTCTCTCTGTCACCCAGGTGGAGTGCAGTGGTATACTCAATGCTCATTGCAGCCTCAAATCCAAGTGATTCTCCCGCCTCAGCTGCCCTAATAGCTGGGATACAGACGCATGCCACCTCGCCTAATTTTTTCTCTTTCTTTTCTTTTTTTTTCTTTTTGGAGACAGAGTCTCACTTTGTCGCCCAGGATGGAGTGCAGTGGCACGATCACGGCTAGCTGCAACCTCTGCCTTCCAGGTTCAAGCGATTCTCCTGCTTCACCCTCCCGAGTAGCTGAGACTACAGGCACCTGCCACCAAACACAGCTAACTTTTTGTATTTTTAGTAGAGATGGGGTTTCACCATGTTGGCCAGGCTGGTCTTGAACTCCTGACCACAGGTGATCCACCTGCCTTGGCCTCCCAAAGTCCTGGGATTACAGGCGTGAGCTACCGTGCCCCGCTTGCAATCTCTCATTTTTTAAATGTGGGTGATTGCCAGGAGTGGTGGCTCGTAACCGTAATCCTGGCACTTTGGGAGGCTGTGGGGTGAGAGGATGATTGCTTGAGCTCAAGATTCCAAGACCAGCCTGGGCAATGTAGTAAGTCCCTATCTCAACAGAAATTTTTTTTTTTTTAATTTGGCTGGGCGCAGTGGCTCAGCCTGTAATCCCAGCTACTTGGGCGGCTGAGGCAGAAGAATCTCTTGAGCCTGGGAGACAGAGGTTATAGTGAGTTGAGATCCTGTCACTGAACTCCAGCCTGGGCAACAGAGCAAGGCTCTGTCTCAAAAAAAAAAAAAAAAAAAAAAAAAATCAACTGGGTGTGGTGGCTCATGCCTGCAGGCCCAGCTGCTCAGGAGGCTTGATAGCTTGAGTGCAGGAGTTCAAGGATCCAGTGAGCTGTAATCACACACACCACTGCATTCCAGCCTGGGTGACAGAGCAAGACTCTGTCTCAAAAAAAAAAAAAAAAAGTGAGCAATTAATAAAAAAATATGGCTGGGCACGGTAGCTCAGGCCTGTAATTCCAGCACTTTGGGAGGCCAAGGTGGGTGGATCACCCGTGGTCAGGAGTTCGAGACCAGCCTGGCCAACATGGTGAAACCCCATCTCTACTAAAAATACTAAAATTAGCTGGGCGTGGTGGCGGGCGCCTGTAATCCCAGCTACTCAGGAGTCTGAGGCAGCAGCATCAAGTCTGAGGCAGGTGCATCGCTTGAACCCAGGAGGCGGAAGTTGCAGTGAGCCAAGATCACACCACTGCACTCCAGCTTGGACAACAGAGCGAGACTCCATCTCAAAAAAAAAATTAAATAAAAATGAATGAAAAAACATAAAATGCTGTGCATAGCAAAGAAATCCCTCTGGAAGGCCAACTTCTAGGTTAAGACAACATTCACAAATATTTATTGAGTAACTACTGTATGCTGGACAGTGTCCTTGGCACAGAACACAGGACAAAACAGACAGTGTCTGGCCTTGTAGAGCTGACACCCCTTTTTTTTTTTGAGACAGAGTCTTGCTGTCACCCAGGCTGGAGTGCAATGGCGCGATCTCGGTTCACTGCAAGCTCTGACCCCTGGGTTCATGCCATTCTCCCGCCTCAGCCTCCCTAGTAGCTGGGACTACAGGCGCCCACCACCACGCCCGGCTAATTTGTTGTATTTTTTTAGTAGAGACGGGTATTCACCGCGTTAGCGAGGATGCTCTTGATCTCCTGACCTTGTGATCCACCTGCCTTGGCCTCCCAAAGTGCTGGGATTACAGGCGTGAGCCACCGCACCCAGCCCACCCCCCTTTTCTTTTCTTTTTTTTTTTAAATTATTGCATTGCCTTCCTACGTGTTGGAAAGCTGACTGCAGATAACAGGCATCACTGCAGCCCTCAGCCGCCTTGCGAGGACGTCATCTCAACATGTTTGTGGCTCAGGCTGTTTACGGAGGACTTCCCGTGGACCAGGAGCTGTGCTGACTCAGGAAGGCTACAAGGGCAGGGTGCCAGGTATGATTGGCCCCAAGGATGCTCCCCAGGAGGAGATAATCCCAGGGTGCAGGACACAGATATCAAAGCCTCAGCCAAAAGCAAGGCCTGTTAAGTCAGAGAACTTGGCATCTGGCCTCTGCAGACCTTCGAGAAACTGACAGCAAGGAAGAACCACGCCTGTGCCTTCTGTTCTGTGGGTCCTCTGGGATTGAGCAAGTCCCTGTGAGCCAGAAGTCTGGAATCCAGGTGTCTGCAGAGCTGTGCCCTCTCTGGAGGCCCCAGGGGAGGATCCTTCCTGCCTCTTCCAGCTTCTGGGGGTGGCCGCCAATCCTTAGTGTTGCTCAGCTTGTGGCTTCGTCACTCCAATCTCTGCCACTGTCATCACCTGGCCTTGACCCCTGTGTGTCTGTCTCTGTGTTTCTGTGTCAGAATCTCCCTCTCCTCTCTTTTATCTTTATTCTTTTGAGACAGAGTCTTGCTGTGTTGCCCAGGCTGGAGTGCAGTGGTGCGATCTCAGCTCACCGTAACCTCTGCCTCCCGGGTTCCAACGATTCTACTCCCTCAGCCTCCTGAGTAGCTGGGAATACAGGGGCCTGCTGCCACGCCCGGCTAATTTTTGTATTTTTAGTAGAGATGAGGTTTCACCATGTTGGCCAGGCTGGTCTTGAAGGCCTGACCTCAAGTGATCCGCCCACCTCGGCCTCCCAAAGTGCCAGGATTACAGCCGTGAGCCACTGTGCCCGGCTCCTCTTTCAGATCTTTATTAAAACATCGTGTTTGCAATAAGACCATCCCCGAGCACTGCATCTGAAATCATAACTTCTTGCCTCCTCCTATTCCCTGTTCTCTTTTCTCCTTAACTCAGCTCCAGACAAAGGGGAATTTTTTTTTTTTTTTTTTTTTTTTGAGACCGAGTCTTGCTCTGTTGTCAGGCTGGAGTGCAGTGGCGCAATCTCAGCTCACTTCAACTTGACTCCGTCTCCCGGGTTCAAGTGATTCTCCTACCTCAGCCTCGCGAGAAGCTGGGATTACAGGCGCACGCCACCACACCCAGCTAATTTTTGTATTTTTAGTAGAGACGGGGTTTCACCATGTTGACCAGGATAGTCTCGATCTCTTGATGATCCACCCGCCTCGGCCTCCCAAAGCACTGGGATTATAGGCACGAGCCACTGTGCCCGGCAAGAACTTTTTAAATAACAGCTGTATTGAGATATAGTTTACATACTGTACAATTCATCCGTGTAACGTGATAATTGAGTGGTGTTTAGTATATTCAGAGTCAGGCAGCCATCATCACATCAATTTTTTTTTTTTTTCTAAGATGGAGTCTTGCTGTGATGCCCAGACTGGAGTGTGGTGGCATTATCTGGGCTCACTGCAACCTCCACTTCCTGGGTTCAAGTGAGTCCCCTGCCTCAGCCTCCCGAGTAGCTGGGACTACAGGTGCGCGCCACCACACCTGGCTCATTTTTGTATTTTTAGTAGAGACGGGGTTTCACCACATTGGCCAGGCTGATCTCGAACTCCTGACCTCAAGTGATCTGCCCACTTTGGCCTCCCAAAGTGCTGGGAATACAGGTGTGAGCCACGGTGCATGGCCATCATATCAATTTTAGAACATATCCATCAACCCCCCAAAATAAAGTTCATTCCAGTCACTCCTGATCCCCCTCTTCCAGCCCCTGGCAACCACTAATCCACTTCCTGTCTCTCTGAATTTGC